CCGTTCACGCAGAGCGAGACCACATCACCGTTCACGCAGAGCGAGACCACATCACCGTTCACGCATATCGTCATTATAAACTGTAACAGCTTCTTTTATCCTCCAGGTGTTCTGCTGGTTTCCACCACAGAAGAAGAACAGCAGGTCAGGAGGCGGAGCTTCAGTCTGTACATCAAACAGGAGGAGGGCGGAGCCTCAGGACCTGAGGACAGCAACATCATCATCAGTCCTAATTGCCTGAGGGAGCGACCTGAAACAGACCTGAGTCGTCTCCCCAATCAGATTCAGTCATACCTGGAGGAGGAGGGGCCTCAACATACTGAAGATCCTCCGGAGGCATTCACTGTCAAACAGGAAGTGGATGAGGGTCACATGATGCTGGAGGCTGCGAGTAGAGAGGAGTTCAGCTCTCAGCAGGAAGGTTGGTAAAGTTTTGTTGTTTTCAAATGAAGTAGATAAAATCATAGTTTCTAGTTTTTTACAGTGCAGTTCAATGTTGGATGTCTGATTTCTTCTTCGTGTGTTTTCTTGAGCATGTTTGTTTTTATCCTCCAGGTTTTCTGTTTGTTTCCACCACAGAGGAAGAGCAGCAGCTGAGGGGGCGGAGCTACAGTCTGCACATCAAACAGGAAGAGGGTGGAGCTTCAGGTTCTGAGGAGTTCACATCGAGTCCTGATTGGCTGATGGGAAGCAACGATGCAGAGGGAAGTTCCTTGTCCACTCAGATCCCGTCCCACATACAGAAGGAGTTTCTCTGGATCCCGTCAGACCTCATGAGATCAGAATCTGGGTGTCGATCACACCATCATGGGGACTCTGATGTCCAATCGCCTGCTGAGGACAGCGGAGACACTCCATCTGAACCAGGTCTCCAGACACCTGAGACTCCTGTAGAACAGAAGCTGCTGGTCTGCGGCAGCTGCGGTCGACAGTTCAGTTCAAGACGAACTTTGAGGAAACACATCAGGCAAAACACAGCTCAGGACCAAGACCAGATGTCCTGCAGCCTCCGCAGACAGAGGGCAACCTTCCAGAGTCCTGCCAAGTCCTTCAGCTGCAGGGTCTGTGGAAACTCCTTCTACACACGGGGGATTCTGGTGCGGCACGCTGAAAACCACTGCAAGGAACCTGAGAACCGGTGTGGGGCCTGTGGGGACTGTCTGGATTCGACGGAGAACCTCAGAGACCACCTGCGGTCCCACAAAGAACTGGGCAGCACCTGCGATGTGTGTGGGAAGAAGTGCAGCTCCATCAGGAGGATGGAGATCCACAAACGGGTCCACACCGGAGAGAAGCCGTACAGCTGCAGGTTCTGCAGCCGAGACTTCAGCAGGAAGGAGAGTCTGGAGAGACACCTAAAGATCCATACCGGGGACAGACCACACCGATGTGGACTCTGCAGGAGGACGTTCACCAGGAGGGAGTACCTGGTCCACCACCTGAAGACCGGTCACACAGAGAGTCCATCTGCAGGGACGGAGTGGACGGAGCAGATCAGTCTGATGCTGTGAAACTGGACAGAAACGTGATGTAGAGACGAGACATTCACTGACTCATGTGAAAGGACTTAATGTTTGTAACTGTTAAACATCAGGAAAGAAAACGGCTTTGATAAAAAATTCATTTGATTCATTAACAGGAACAGATTTAGTTAAATCTTTGTTCTGTGTGTTAACTTCGTGTTGCTAAGTTACACAGAGTTCAGACCTTCAACAGTCTCATTATAGAACATTTCAATTCACGAGATCCACAAAGTTGATCCGGATCTGAACCACACACTCAGAAATATCATGTCGGATTCTCGAAGTTCTTCAGATGCATTCTGGACTTTTAGCAAAATCCAGCAAACAAACAAACCGAATGAAAACAGGTCATTGTACAAATACACAAGTACAACGGAACCTTTTAAAAATGTTTGTATAAGTAATGAAAAAAGTTTTTACAGTTGGTTTAGCAAAAACATGTCATTCACGTACAGGAAGCAGCAGTGTATTGTGGGACATGATGGAGAAACATCCACAGTATCCTGATGTCACATGATTCAGTTGCATCTCCATGACAACAGAGTTTTCTCTAATGTGACAAACCTGGAAAATATTTCAATATTATTTCATTTTAGTTGAAAACATTCAAACGTCCTCAGATCAGCAGCACTTTGAACCATAGACGACAAATGTGTGTGTGTGTGTGTGTGTGTGTGTGTGTGTGTGTGTCATTTCCAGGAAGAGGTACAAAGAGTGTTTGTGTGTTACAAAGTGATTTCCTGGTCAACCGGGTGTTTCCTGTTAAAACACACACACTCAGTGGGTCATTGTGTGTTGTCCAGTTACTTTATGAACACACACACACTCACACACACACACACACACACAC